CCAGAACAGCCTGATTCTAACGGCGAGGTGTGGGTGGGGGGGTAGGAGGTGGGGTTGGTCGGGGGGCGCCCACAAGGTAGTTTTTAAATTAAAATAACGGAATAATTAAGACTCAGAGGGGAGATAGGACCATGGGGATGGAACCTCTTGTATCTCACTCACACACACCTCGTCTGTATTCAGCACACATGCCTCCTCCACACTATGTGATGCTCTCTCTCTCTCTCCCTCTCTCTCCCTCTCCCTCTCTCTCTCCCTTTCTGCAGGAGAACCAGGAGATACATCCACACACTCCACTCTATGGCCACCTGCTGTTGCCGTCTGGCTCGCTGCTCTTCCCGCTCTCTGTGTCCTGCCCACCCACATCAACACTCGGACGCAGTCATCCACTTGCCCGGCTAAGGGTGCGTTGTGCCCGGTCGTGGGGCAGAGGAGGCCCCGCTGGACCCACGGACACGCTCTCGTGTCTCACCTTGACCATGTTTGTCCTCTCGTGATGACGGGAGATGATGACGTCAGAGCCAGTGATTCTGTCGGTATTCAGGTGATGTGACCACATGTATGTTTATGTGCGTGTGTGTACGTTTGTGTGTTTGAGTGTGTGAGCGTGTGTGTGTGTGTGTGTGTGAACGGGGTCTGTTTTCATTTCTGTCACTGCAGAGTTTTTACATCCCACATAAAGGAAAATAAAACAAATTACTATTATGCAACTCATATATAAACACGTAACAATTACAATACAAAATAACAATTCTATTCATTTCCTGGATTGTTAACATGTACAGTGGTCACAGCTTCTTATTTCTGACACTTTGTCTTTTGTAATGAATTAGAGCCCAAGTTCTAACGACAACACACCAAACAGGCTCAAACCAGAACATGCAAAAAAAAGAAGCTTTTCCACATTTGGATGGATGGATGGATGGATGGATGGATGGGTGTCTTTTCAACCCAACATCAAGGCATGGGACAGAATACACCTACAACAGCATCAAATTCAAATTCAAATTGAACAAAGTCATATAACCGTGTGAATATGTTTTCACATACATTTTTAGATATCTCTCTTCCACATTGGTTGCGCATTAGGTGAAAAATATATTGGCGCCATCCTCTCCATCCAGGAGGATTTGGCCACTGCAGGTTGAAACACTTTGAGGAGACGAATGTTTTTATATTCACATCAAAGTCACACGAAAATTGACTTTTTCCTGTGCAACAATTTGATCATTTTTCAAGTGTTTAAGTGTTATTTACGTTTCAGTAAGCATCATTCTGTTATTAATAGTTGACACATTGTATTTAAAGGGAAACTCTGTGGTCACCATGACAACAGCAGAATCCAGAACCTGACCACTTCCTGTTTTCAAAGAACCAAGGTTACACTAGCATCTGTCACTGTGATACTGGTGGACTCTAATAAAAAGTATAGAGTTCTAAATGATGATGTCATTGGTGACATCATGGTCGGTCAGTGTTGTTTCTTCCTGTTAAGGTGTGAATCTTAACATCCACAAAACATTTTTTTTCCATTTGCATTCACTCTCTGATCTTCGACAGACACCTCTGAAGGAGAGGGGATGGAAGGGAGAGAAAAGGAGGCCGACACCTCGCTGAGGGGAGGAGGTTGGGCCAGGGTCTGCAGACATAATGGACTGATAAACACCCGTGGCATGGAGGCAGAGCCTCATGAGGATTGGCAGACCATCTACTCCGCTCCTCAGTATCAGGGTCATGTGGTGGCAAACACTGTCGTCCCTGCACCTCCTCAGCTCCTGAACCCCAGTGCTCTCCTCCAGCACCAGACAGCAGCAGTGGCAGACTCCTACCTTAGACCCACTCCCGGCCTCCTTCTGTCCCCAGAGACCGTCCTGCGAGCCTGGGGTGACACGGGGGGAGGAGAATGCTGCGAGACCACGTTCATTGAGGGGCTCTGCCCTGACCCCGCCCTGTCCTGCTCCACCACCAAGGAGCTGCTGTACTTCGCTGATGGGAGGAGTCTGGACTGTTATGAAGAGGATGCAAGGATTCACACAGTGTCGTATGACATTGATGATGAAGATGAGTTCCATGAAATAGAGGTGAAGAATGATAGATTATAGGTACATCTAGTGAAGACGCAGGAACAGCCTAGAACACTCTCTCAGTTTAGCTGCAGACTCATCTGGACTCCAACACTTGACAAACACGTAGACTCAGGAGGCCTCACCTGGACTGAGGGCCAGCCCTCGGCCTGGTGGTCAGAGGACCAGGCTCGTTCAGAGGAGCGTAGCTTTGAATGGGCTGATGGATTTAATGCAGAGGACAAATGTCACCATAATTAACATTCATTCATAATTAACAAAGCCGATAACAAGCATTGACCAGGGAAAATGTGACTTAGACTCAAAGAATGAACTCAGATGTCGACTCACCCAGACTCCTGCAGACTTACATACTGACAAAGATGATAAACAATAATAAATAATTTAGACATTTAGAATTTAACACAGTAAAACAGAATCAATCTACATCACCTTTTCACTGCGTATATTCATTATATAATGCCTATGTAAAATGACACTGTGTGTGTGTGTGTGTGTGTGTGTGTGTGTGTGTTCAGAGTGATTACTCCTCTCAGTCAGACAGTGATGACACCTTCCTGTTGACACCTCCCAGAGATCACCTGGGCATCAGTGTCTTCTCCATGCTTTGCTGCTTCTGGCCACTTGGCATCGCTGCATTCTACCTGTCACACGAGGTAAGGTCTCTCTCTCTCTCTCTCTCTCTCTCTCTCTCTCTCTCTCACCCTCAAAACAGCATCATTGTTCATCTCATTATTACCAGTGGATCGTGACCGGCCCTGAATCCTTATTTTTTTACTTTTTACTACATTCTTCAGAAATATTAAAGGACCAACAGCTGTGAACAAAGACTAAAGGATTGATAACTGTCTGTGTTTATTACCACAGGTTTCACATGATGTAATAATCAACATGACAACAAACACTTTCAGGTGAACTTCTCCAACTGTCGTAGAGGAACGTACCTTCCTGTGGTATTGGCTGGTGTCGGCTATAATTAGTCCTGAAACGAAGATTCACGTTGTCTCTTGATATGAAAAGAAGTGTGTGTGTGTCAGACCTGTGGTTTTTTTGGGGAGCTGTAGGTGTGCAGTTGCTATGGAAACCACAGTCGATAGGCTACCACTGCACAACAACCACACACACTTGTTACATAAGACTCGGCCTCAGACCTGCGAGGACTTTACTTTCAACAGGAAGTGTGGGAGTTGGTTGTCTGTTTTTGGACCAATCAGAAGTTCAACTTGATCGTCAGTTGACAGAAAGAGGAATTCCAATTGGTCAAAACTATGCACCACAATTACTTTTACCATTAGCACTCTGCTGTGCTAACATTTCATGTGAAGCGCTGTGGTAACGAAGCATTGAGCTTTATTCAACTATTAATCATTTGATCTGTTTGTCTCTGACCCCGCCCCCTTTCATGCAGACCAATAAGGCGGTCTCTAAGGGAGACTTCCACCTGGCCAGCTCCAGCTCTAGGCGAGCTCTGTTCCTGGCTGTGCTGTCAATCACCATTGGGACAGGTATCTATGTGGGCGTGGCCGTTGCACTCATCGCCTACCTCTCCAAGAACCAACACTGGTGAAGAGGAAAACTACCCATCTACCCCTTTGTTCTACACCCTGTTGGCAAAGGATTTAAGAGATGAGGTTTTTAGAGGGACGGTTGACACCCCCCCCCACAAATGCTTGAAACCAATCAGAGCCCAGGATGTGTTTGAAGAAACTGTGGAACAGAACTACAAACAGAACTCGGTGGTCTTGGCGTTTTAATGAAGGACAAAGATGAGAGTTTGAGTTCAATCTCAGAGAACCCTTTCATTCTCCTTTCGACAGTAAAGGCGCTCAGAAATCATCTAGTTATGTCTGAGGATGTTAGCAGCACTAGAATTAGCTTAAAGTTAGACCAGTATTCCCGAGATTTAAGATTGTTTCAGTCTGCTGTGAGCAGCAGCAGCATCAGCAGCAGCAGGACTGGTCTATTGCACAGACTCACAGCATTTCATTTATCTAATTCAGTCAACAAGAGCAGAATGTATAAAATAGATTCCATTTTCACAACTCAGGCGAACCGAGTTCATGAAAGGAAGTAGGCGTGACCTGCTGACCACCGCCTGATTCTGATTTGTCGGACTGTGACGTTTTATTTCCTGTAGTTTTTAGGTTATTTTGCCAAAAATGTAGTGTTGTGAAGAAGCAGAATTTTATCAGTGTAATATTTACATCACACTCACTTTATTAGCCTGCTAGAGTTGGGGTTCATCACTGATGACGAGGTTAAGGGTCAGAACAGGTTTGGAAAGTAGTTGATTACTAATATCAAAGTAAGGCTCAGAAAGGGTCAAAGGTCATAGGGTTTGGAACATGGTCAAACATCAGGACAGGGACGAGAACATGCTTCTGGTCAGTATCTCGTCTCAAGAATAGTTAGAGACACTTGGTCACTTTCGGCAGCTTATACAAATTCCATGGACTGAAGGGCTGCCACATTTTTGTCAACACAAAGACAGGATTGTGATGACGTCATCAACATCTCTGACGATGTTGCTGACACCCGGATAAGACTGTGATGATGATCATCCACGTCTGTTCTCTCCACAAGCCAAACTAAGAGAAATCTTCAGTTTTTTTTAAAGACTGCTGTAGAACAAAGAGACGCATGTCCACACCACAGGACGTCCACCAAGTCACAACAATAAACACCTGTGACCATAGGGATGAGGTCACGGAAATGACATCACAAAGTTGTGACGAAACTCTCTCATCTTAAAGAACACAAGACTAATGACACACTGCAAATCCTCAGAGTCTCATATTCCTGTTACAGAGGTGTATGTGAAGTGAAGTAATGAGAGAAATCTGCAGCACACAGGAAGAAATCAGGATTAAAAAAATAGTCCATTTTATTCTAATGACATAAGTTCATTATAAAAAGAACGTTAATTCTAATTTTAAAATATTTTTTCTTGTATTGTTTTGTGAATATTTGATGAGTTTATTTACTGTTTTGAGCCTGTTTTATTGTGTGTATTTCTGAAAACTATTTGATTTGTGTTATGAATATTGGTTGTTGATTCCCTGTGGGGTTTTTATTGTGTGTATTTCTGAAAACTATATGATTTGTGTTATGAATATTGGTTGTTTTTGCGTGTACTGTTTTAAAAATGAATGTGTTATTAATCAGAAAAACAGGCTGTTTATTTCATTTGTGTGATTAAAGAGTGTGAGCCTGATCTAACGATTGATGCCTCCTACTGGCAGGAACAGTTTTAGCTATTTGGCCTTTAGCAAATTTTTCAAAAGTCAAACTATTCTGACTTCCTGCCTTTTCTATAAACTGATTGGTTGTTGTAGAACCACATGACAGGTCCTGTGGTGCTGTTGCTCAAATGTTTGTTCAGCTAACAAACATGATGGTTAACAGGTACCTGCGGTTGCTGCAGTGGCTCAAGATGATTTCCTGCCTGGGACCTGGAAGCCTTTCTACACAGGAAGTGACATCTCACGTTCAAAAGGCTGAGGTGACTGGCTCAACTGTGACAGAACAGATCAAATCAGTCGTTTGACTGATGGGAAAGACAAAACGTTTGAAGACACACAGAAGAAAAAGAAGTGGATTTAAACGGACAAAACGATGCTGCTCTTGGTTGTCTTCCTCCTGGGTAAGAACTGTTTTTCTGTTTGTGTGAACTGTTGTTGACACAGTTACTGTGTAGTCAGAAAAACAAATAGCTGGATGTTGGCCTAATAAGGAAGAGAACGCAGTTCAGTTACTGTTGGATGTCACTGTGATGTCATCGAGCTCTCTTTCACCGACGGTCATACGTCACCTCCTTGTTTTGAGGCAGGAAGGGCAGTAGGCAGTCATGGTGGCCGCTACATGCCTGGTTCTGTGGTCAACGTTAACAGAGATGACCGTGGTCTCCAGCAGGCTGTCCTGGCTGTGGCCTACTCTTTCAATAACCAATCAAACGACGCCTTCCTCTTTAAACCGTTAGCCATCCGCACGGCTAAGAAACAGGTAAGACCGGCCCACGGCGCAATCACATGCGGTTGACAGATGACAGATGAATGCGTGTCTAGAACTGATAACTCTGTGTTTCAGATTGTCAAGGGAGTCCACTATATTGTAGATCTGGACATTTGCAGAACTGTGTGTCGTAAACAGATCAACAACACCGACTTTTCTCACTGTAACTTTCAGCCTGAACCTCCACTGAAGCAGGTCAGAGCCACAACTCCACAGCCATATCCCAACATTTTAAACAAATGCACCATACCCTCTACCTTAAAAATGACTTTATTGACGGGTCTCTTGTTTTTTCACTGACGTGTTATTTTTTGTATGTTTCAGATATTTCAGTGTCACTCAGACATTTGGATAATTCCTTGGAGAAAACAGACAAAGGTTGTGGGTTTGACGTGTAAACCATAAGTGTCTTTTTCTATCTCTTCCTCCTCATGTGTCCCTGTCCAGATGTTTCTCTGTTCGTTTTAATGTCTGATACATACTGGACATTTACATGAAGCCATATTTCCCTTCTGTCAGTTTGCATAATTAGACTGCCTCCTGCTGTTCACGTGAGAAAAAGCTGCCAATAAATTCGAAAACGGAACTTCTGAGGTTTTTGAGAAATTCTCCTTGTGTGCTGACTAGCTTGAATTTAAGCTAGCATTAGCTTAAACGTTTCTTTACAATGTTGTTAGATAACAGTAGGTGATGTCAAACATGGGTAAATAACATGACTTTAGGTTGTTAATTAGTTAATTGTTAATTTTTCCAGTGTAATTTACTCGATATAAACCAACAAGAACTAATGTTTCCTGACCTTGATTTGTAAAGAGAAAATATCTTATAAATAATAACGCATAAAATAAATTAAATACAAATGATCATCCCTTCAGTTTCTCTTAGTCATTAAAATAGACATTCCTTTTCACTTTAGAAAGTTTTTTTATTTTACTTAGCTTATTCATGGTGCATGTTTTTATTATTATTATGTCAAAAGCAGGCAGGACCACATGATTTAAAACATCATAAAGCACAAACTTTCATTCACAGTATTATCGTTATAGCTGAAAGCTAACTAAAGTAAAGCAGAAAGCCCATTGTCATGATGTAAAATGAAAAACAAACAAACAAACAAACAAACAAACAAGAAAACCTGTGCGTAACAATTTAGTATTTGGATGACACTAAATGCTTCAGCCTTGTTATAATTTTCAGTCTGTTTTGACTGTTGCAAAAACAAACAAAGCACACTTGTTCAGAGACACAGTCGTTAGCCGCTTTTTTTTTTTTTTTTTTTTTTTTTTACACGTTGTTCAGGTCAAGTTTTGCGATGTATGGCGATCGATAGGAGCCGATGTAAAGAGTCCCGTCATATTCGTGGACTTCACTCACGTGGGCCGCCACCACGCCATTAGGATCATGAAAGCTTCGGGTGCAGACACTGCCTTCGTGGATTTCTGCCACCAAACTGTAGCTGGTGACAAACTTGCTTAGGACTTCAGGACTGAATAGCTGTGCGAGGAAGACAGGGCAGGAAGGGAGTAAAAAAGGAAGGTTGAAAAGTAAGGGATGACAGGAAGGAAGCGGGAGATCAGAAAAGATTCTACAACCAATGCTGTGTTAATGGTGTTTATCCCCACATGCAGCTGGTACCTGTTCTTGTTCCTATAATCACAATTAGAAACAGTTCTCTGTCTTTACCTTGAAGATAAGTTTCTTGATCCACGGCCTCTGTGACAGAAAGTCTAATGTGGAGAACCCGGGATTGGGACGCACTCTGGACATGGCTACCCAGTAACCTCCAGTGGAACTCGGGCGTATGTTGTCAGGAAAACCAGGCAAGTTGTCCATGAAGGTTTCCATCCCACCTTTATTCAGGCCAGACACGTGGACTCTGATTGGTCGGACAAACAGGTAAACAAACCCGGTCACTACGCGGTTACCTGTCAGGGTTAGCCATCATTAACTCACATCCGTCACAGGAAGAGACCGACCTGCGAATCCGGGCCATAGTGGTCTCAGCCACCAGTACTGACTCTTCATCAGGAAGCAGCTGAATTCCATTTGGGAAACGAAGGTTCTCCATGATAACAGTGACTTCTTTGGTCTCGGTGTCATACTCCAAAACCCTGACACCGACAATGGACACATTTTTATATGAGCAGCAAGATATGAAAACATTATTGTTTCACCGCCGCCTACCGTCCATCAGCTGTAGCTTCCATAATGAGGTTCACATAATCCTTACGCTGCCACCTGCTGCTGGAGTCTGTAAAATACACCTTCTTCCCGTCCTGCGTCACAGATAGGTCGTTAATAAAGGACAGTTTCCTGCCATTGACCACCTGACCACCCTCCACCAACCTGGTGGTCTCACCTGCACAGATGCCCAGAGGGAAATTAGAGGCCGTCATTCTGACAAAAGAAGAAAACAACAAAAAACACATCGGTTCACCTGTCGTGGGGTTGACCTCGAACAGGCCCAGGTAGGCATCTGCTACCATTAGGGTCCCATTAGGGCTGACCCTGATCCCTAAAGGTCTTCCACAGTTTGGCTCATCATCTTTAGATCCTTTAAAATCAGAACCAACATCAGTCAGCTTTCAATCAAACAGTAAAGAATGTCATTAAATGGTAAAACATGTCTTTTAATGCTTATTAATTAATTAATACAGTATTAATAAAGCAGTGGTTAATGATGATTAGTTGCATTTTGTGCTGTAATTAATTGGTAGTTGAGCAGTTTATTTGCACAAATGTTCAGAGGTGTCAGTTGAGTGGTTCGTTAGTAACAGCAATACAATAGTTTTAACAATAACTACCTTGATCACATGAAAATAATCCCCGATTCAAAGTAACCACTTCCTCTCACCACACGGATGTTTTCCAAGTTGTGTCACTGTATGAAGCCTTCGACCATTCAGCTTCACAATTTTCCCATCAGCTGTTCCAGTAAACAGAACATCTGCAGAGAGACAGAACAGCCGTCAGCAGTCAGTCTTCTTCACAGAACACTGCTGAAAAACAAACCCACCTCCGATGTTGGCAATGGACTCAGGTCCCTGGATCTGGTTCTCAAAGATTCTTGTAGCCTTCCGCAATTTTAGGTTTGGTTCCCAACAGCCGGTCATCAGGGGCGGCTCCTTCAGACTGCAGTACACAACAATACCAGTAGCACTATAATTATAAACAAACACTATGAACTCTAAATATTTCAAACTTGTGTATTCTTTCTTGCATCTTTTCATTGTTTCCAAATATTCAGTGTGACATGATTTTAGTTTGCAGAATCTAAATCTATTTCCAAAACATAAAAACGTAAACATTGGACACACACTGACCACGTGACCCAGCAGCGTCTCAGCAGCTTCCCTGAATCAAAATCAATTTGATCGCACTACAGTGTGCAATGCTTGTGTTCAAAGACCATTTGTGTCTCACCGGAAGACCTCAGGCTGAATCGGTGACTTGAAAATGAAGACAATAACAAGCAGAGAGAGGAACACGAAGCCGCCCAGGGAGAGAAACGTAACGCGGAAAACCTTCCCACTGTAGGTGCTGTCGTACACAACAAAACACAAATAAACACAAATGGTTGGCATTAGTATTTGGGTCAATATTACATTTTACATATAATATACATACAATGTTATAACCACTGCCCTGTGGCGGTACAGTTCACCAAACGGGAACAAAAACAAACCACTCCCTCGTCCGTCCATTGTCCGTTGAAAACAAAAACAAACCACTCCCTCGTCCGTTTTACTCACTAGCTCTTTGCCAATGTTTCATTATTTTTGCTTTTTTTTCTATTTAGTCCAAGTCATCTCTGTTGTCTATATCCTGATATAATTGTTTTTTTTATTAATTCTAAATACCAGCTGTGAACCTCCACTTACGATGCAAACAATGGTGTTCACAACAGTCGTACTCACAATTGCGCGTTTAAATATTCAAATAAAATAGCATAGCTTCAACATTCTTTTACTGGAGGATACATTACACCTCCCTCTGTCTGGGGTTTTATGTGGTGATGGAGGAGGTTTGTGTCAATTCCTTATAGACGATCAACGACCCGAACGCGATTTTGGTTCCGGTTTTTACCTGGATCCCTTATAACGGTTGTCCGGGAGCTCATCGTCGGTGATGATCCTCGGTCTGTGGTGCCGCCGTAGCCGCAGACCTGCAGCCTCGTTCATACCGGAATGGAAATGATTTAGTTCGGTTCAAAACGCGCTCTGGGATTCGAACCCGTCTTCCGTTGACAGTTTCAATCTTCAACACAAAAACACACGACAGCATCCCCCTTTACATTGTCTACCAAATGTAACATATCCAGTAGTGATGTGTGGTTCGCGAGTCATTCGTTCAAAATGAACGAATCTTTTATATGAGTCGTGACTCCCGAGTCATATGAAAGATTCGTGGCTCGTGACTACCGAGTCATATTAAATATTTATTCATATTGAACTCACGAATCACTCACTGCGAACTAATCACACTCTGCGAACTAATCACTCACTGCGAACAGATCACTCTCTGCTAACTCATATTTCACTGAGAACTAATCTATCATTGCAAACGAATCTTTCGCTGTGAACTAATCTTTTGCTGTGAACGAATCATTCTCTGTGAACTAATCTTTCGCTGTGAACTAATCATTATGAACGATTCAATCTCTGTGAACTAATCTTTCGCCTCGTTCTCGCAGATTCGTTTCATTTGTCACGTGACAGAGAGTTCGGGTCTTTTTTGCTCTCATTCATCTTCACATTGTGGTGTGTTTTTATTTCTTAGCTTTTCACATGGTTTTAATTACTTACGGCATTTTGTGTAGTTTGTAGACTTTGTCAGCGGAAGCAAACCATGTTGCCTTATTTAGTGTCGGAGAACCGCAGCCTTCTTTACAACGCCCACAATAGGGCTAAAGCGCCACCTGCTGTAAAACGAATGAAATGATTAGTTCAGGATTCGTTCACGACCCGTTCATTTTACTGTTTGAGAGTCAAAGATTCGAATCAATAAAAAAGAGTCGGTCTTCCGGTTCATAATAAAAGCAACAAACACCTCATACGTTCGATCCGCTTTATAATATTGAATATAATTAAATATATATTACTTTGCATTTGCAAATTGAAAATAATAATCGTGTAGTTAAACATGAATACCAACTTACTACCACACCTGCAAAACAAACAATGGTTTATTTAAGCCCCAAACCATTATGAAATAACCAGTTTTTTTTAATTAGACAAAATTGAAATGTCTCAAGATCACTTGTGTTTTTTTTCTGATAAAAAAAAAAAACTACTTATAAACTGAAAACATCATTCTATTAATTATCAATCCAATCAGTGGGGAATCAACCAGGCTCTGAGCCTGCAGGGAGTGCACAATCCAAACATAAAAAACAACCTCACAGGATGGCCCTGTCATACCGGTCCACACTGGGTACTCTGTTTGCCAGTTTGTTTTTCCTTTACTATCACTAGGTTTGGATATGCTTAACAAGACGGAAGCACATCCAACCAGTAAATTAAGTGAAAAAGAAAAGAAAAAACCAACCATTGGTCTTCGTGAAATTGGAGGAATTCTAGGAAATCCACTTTGAGTCTGTTTGGAGCCTTAGTTCCATCAGTACTGGTGCTTCTGCTTCAGTGACAGGGTACACACCTGTGCCCACGGAGGCTTCTCCTTGCAGCAAAGTTCCGGTGACAGGATGTGCAGCTGAAAGGTTTCTGTCCTGTGTGCACATACATGTGTGTCTTCAAGTTGTTGTTCTGACTGAACCTCTTCCTGCAGATGTCACACTCAAACGGCTTCTCTCCACTGTGGACACGTTTGTGTCTGACCAGGTTTTGTGAGACACTAAAGTTCTTTCCACAGAACTCACAGACGAACGGTTTCTCACCACTGTGAGTCCGTTGGTGGAGGTCGGCACTGGCCTGGGTGGAGAAGGTTTTTTTGCACAGTGCGCAGCTAAAAGGCCTCGCCTCTAGGTGGCTGCGGCGGTGTGTTTTCAGGTAGCTCAGAGAGCTGTAGGTGCCTCCACAGATGTCGCATGAAAATGGTTTACGGTTGCCATGCAGTTGCTGATGCCTCTTCAGGGCCTGGGAACTCGTGAAACTCTTTTTGCACTCGCTACATGAGTAAGCCTTCAGTCCACTGTGAACCAGCAGGTGGCGTTTTAGTGACACAGAAGAAGAAAAGTTTTTACCACACTCTCTGCAGTTGTGCAGTTTGACTGCAGTGTGACGTTTCTCATGTAGCAGCAGTGCCCCGCGCTGCCTGAAGCCCTTCCCACAGGCATTACAGATGAACGCCCACTCTGAGTTGTGTACGGCACGGTGAACTTTTAGGTGTCCCGCCTGGGTGAAGCTGCGACCACAAACCTCGCACGTGAAAGCACGGTTCCCTGAGTGGAGAAGTTGATGGCGGCGCAGGTTAGCAGACAGACTGAAGCTCCTCCCACATGTGTCGCAGGTGAAGGCCTTCTCTCCGGTGTGGACTCGCTGGTGCACGTTCAAACTGCTGCGACTGGAAAACCTGTAGCCACACAGTTTGCAGGCATACGGTCGCTCACCTGTGTGTGTCATCTGGTGTACTCGAAGGCCACTCCGCTGGCTGAAAGCCTTCTTGCAGACACCACAGGTGAATGGCTTTAATCCTCGGTGCACACTCAGTTGGTGCACGTGAACACTGCGCCGTGTGGTGAATCCTTTGTCGCAGGCTGGACATTTGAATTGTTTTTCTTTGAGATGAATCTTTTGGTGTGCAGACAGGTAATTTTTCTTAGAGAACTCCTTCCCACACACTGTGCATGTGAACTTTTTGTCTGTCTTCTGGCAACTGAGCTTATGTTGTCTGAGGCTGCACTTCGTTTCCATGCTCTCCCCACAGGATGAACACTTCACAGGAAGAACAACTGATGCCTGGTGAGTCCGCAAGTGGCTGCGGGTTCCAAACTGCTTCCCGCAATGGGTGCACACGAAGGGACGTTGGCCGTTGTGAACTGTTAGCTGATGGACTCGGAGACTGTTTCGTGCTGAAAAGCCCCGTCCACAAGTAAGACACACGAAGGGACGCTCTCGGTTGTGGACCCTGATGTGAGTGACCAGATTGGTCTGTTTGGAGAAAGTGATGCTGCAGATGCTGCAGCTGAAGCGCCGCTCGCTGGCTGTTGCACAAGTCTGCTCAAATCGGTCATTTGAAGTTGAACTTGACTGGCCTTTAACATCTAAGTGAAAGTCACCAACAGGAGAAGACAGACAGACAGACATGCTTAGATCACCATGTAATGAATAAAAGAAATACACAATTACTAGTGGCACTCTTGATAAAAAAATCAAGATTCTTGATTCTAATGTAAAGTATAATATTTAATTAAATGAAGAAAATCATATTTCTAGGATTTGCTACATTCTTGATTATTTGAGACACCAATATTCGACAGTTAAATGTTAAAGAAACTTTGTATGGATTCACAGACATGAAAACTTTTAAGATCAAACTCTCAAGTCTTACATTCTTCCTGGTTTTGTGTCAGGTCTTGGCTCACATTCTTGTCTGTCTGAATCAGGTTCTCACTCAGATCTTGACTTTGATTTAAGTCCTCTTCCAGACGTTGCTTTAGGTTCGGGTCCTTTTTTAGATCTTGATTTTGGTTAAGGTCCGGGTGGTCCTCGAGCACACTTTTAAGCTGCAGCATTAAAACCTCAAACACCTTTTGAATTAAAGCCAACACCTGCTCCTGCACACAAGAAGTTTGAACAGGTGAAAAGGCTGTGTATAAACATATAACAATATAAACGCCATAATCAGACACCATACCTCGCTAAGTGATGAAGCCCTCAGTCTGTTACAGACCTCTTGCCTCGCAGCCACAGCAAACTCCTCCACAGCGAACGTCACGAGCCGCTCTACAAGTGACATCATCAGAAATGAGAAAAAGACAAAAGACGTTTCGATGGACAGAGAGAGCAAAAAAGGAGGTAAAAAAGTTAGACAGATACGCAAAGTAGTGTCCAAAAGTAAACTTTATACTGCAATACATATACTGTAATTCCCCGTATAGGGAGTAGGAGACATCCCGCGTTTCCTGTTTTTATTGCGACACTCTTTACGGCAGCTTCATTGACTTAGGAAAAGTGCCCGCTGCCCTCTACTGGACAGACTACTACTAACGGAAATACAACGAAATTATTAAATTAATTTTCTTTTGGTTTATGATTTAATCAATTAAAACATATACTTTGTTGAAAAACGTTGTTTTATATTTTTAAAGTCATTTAAAAAACAAAACAGCATGTATGGAAATAAAACACGAATGTTAGATCTATATTGTGTGTTTATTTTGTCAACCAAAATACAAAACACAATAAAAAAAACCTTTTGGAATATGTCTTCATATTTGAGGTGCTGAATGGCTCAACCCTAAATTCATTTCTTTGTATTTACCAAGTAATGCAATCTATTTATCGTGCCGGGTCCGATAGCGAAGCCGGAAACGATTGGAGATGTCACTCTCGACTGCAAATACAGACGGCAAATCTGAAAGCAGGCAAATAAACCTACGTCACACGATGCTACGTCGACGAATGAGTATAATGCAGAATCTCGAAAAACGCCACAAATAATGGATATAGAAGGTGCGTTCCGGGTGGTCGGGGAGTTCGGTTCGTACCAGAAACGGGCGGTGGCGCTGCTCGCCCTGACGCAGGTCTGTAACTAAAATGTATTCACGTTACTAACAAACTAACGAAAGTAAATCGTGTCCAACACAGCTACGTGGCTTAAAGTCTTGCACATTTTAAAAATGACCATGACTTAGAATATAGTCTTTTAGACTTAGTATGATTGTGTTTCTGTGTCGTCCGTACACCATACATCTGTTTTTTTAAAGTTTAAATATCGTTGCTTAGTTGATGTACAGTACATTCTGAATCAAAACATTTAGTCACAAGGCACAAATAACACAGCTGTTTGGGTCTCCTTTAAATGATAACAACGGTCAGACTCATAAAAAAAGACGTTAGAAAAGACTTAAACAAACAAAGAGTCTTAGAAGTATTGACAAGCTGTTGTAATTAATAATGAACATGTCATTAAAACACCGCAGGCAAATTGGTCATATTATAGCAGTGTTTAACAAGTGTCTGTTTTATTACGTGTTGATATGAATTTTCACAATTTAACCAAATCCACGCTGATAGCACAGGTTTCATTGAAAAATAAATCAAAAATATATTTCCCAGTCAGAATTAGTTTTCCCACCGTCTTTTTCATTATTAATTTGTTGTATTAATATTGGTTCTGTTAACAGAATTTGTTGACGAAACCTCCTTCCCCACATCTCGGTTTCACAATATGGCCTTTGAAAAAAGACCAAGCTCCAGGTGCTTGAGTGGTTCAGTCCAAATCATAACACCACACGTGTGTGTTTCAGGTGTACATGGCCTTTCAGTCCATGCTGATTGTGTTGGTGGGAGCAACACCGTCCTACCGTGTAGAGGAGGAGCACATCATCTTCACGGAGAAAATGGACTCCATAGTAACAGAGGTGAATACCATGCTACCATTCCAATTATTTATATCAAGGTCACGTATATATTTTTAATTTTGTATAATATTTTCTATAGTTGAGTATATTTTAGTTATTTTTTGGTCTCTTTTTGTTACAATTTGGGGACAACTACTGGTCTCTTTTTGTTACAATTTGGGGACTTAGAGGTTGTGTAATTGTTTTTCCCCTTCTGTGTGGTCTCTGCTGCTCTTTAGTGGTTTTTGGTTAAACATGAATCCTACAAAGTGGGCCTGGCTGGATCCCTGTTCTTCGCTGGCCTTCTGGTTGGGAACGTTGTCTTCGGTCCGCTTTCTGACAAAATTGGCAGGAGACCCATCTACCTCACAGGTATGCAAAGAAAAAGTCAACATGAAAAGTCTGTGTGGAAGGAATAGATTAGTGATGCAGTCTCCCTCCGAACAGGTCTGTTTTTTGAGGTGATCTTTGGTTACGTGACAGCATTCGCGCCCAGTTACGAGGTCTTCGCTGTGTCTCGACTCCTAGTTGGACTGATGAACGGAGGCATCGGTCTGGTCGGCTTCGTTCTGACTCAGGAATATGTGGGGAAATCCTACTGGGCCATGACAGGTAAAACCACTCTGCCTAGTTTATTTAAGAATACATTTACATAACTCCTTAATCAAATGCTGGCCAGGATGAGAAATTTAATTAATTTGTGGCCAACTCATAGCTTAGTTACACTTAGGTAGGTTTTATTTTATAATATTTTTTATAAAAACTTTTTGACAATTTTTGAAATGGTTTCTTGGACTATTTTCACCCTCTCTTAACTTTCGTGCTTATTTTACTTTTTCTCAAGCTCACATTTACCAATTTGATCATTTGCAAATGTTTATAACAGGTTTAAAATGTCCATTTTGTGACTACTTTGTTTTCTTTTTTCTATTTTTGTTGTATCTCCTTTCATTTATCATCATCATATCTGTCTTTTCCAAATCCCCCTCTGTCCTCTTATGTGTCTTCTTTTCTTATCGTCTTCTTCAGGGACATTGATCAGTATGTCCTTTGCCATTGGCATCGCTCTGTTTGGAGCTCTGGGATACTACATCCAACCGTGGAGGAACCTGGCATCTGCTGCCAACACAACCGGAGTCATCTTCTTTCTGTTTTCAGTGTATGTGCCACAACATGGAGCAAAAAACAGATCAACGTATTTTGTTTTGTAATTAATGTCAGTTCTTGGAGTGAGAATTTTTAATAGTTCTTCCGTTCTCCTGCAGCTTCTTGCCTGAATCTCCTAGATGGCTTTACTCTCAGGGTCAGACAGTGCGAGCTGAAGAGGTACATTTTCAATCAAAAATTTTAAAAATTCTACTTCGGTATAGAAAATTATCAGGTTTTTAAATTAAAACTAACTCTGTTGTCCAGTTCTGAACAGACATATTTGACTAATCAGGGGTCTGTAAACTGTTTTCACTCCACTGATTGCAGGTGATGTGCTACATCGCCCAGAGAAATGGAAACACAGCGAAGAACCTGACACTACAGCGAGTGGCTGCACCAAAGACCGGTCCATCAGACAGGAAAGGTGCTGGAGTCCTGCAGCTCGTGGTGCATCCAGTGCTGCGCCTCAGGACCATGGTGCTCATGTATGTGTGGTGAGTGTCCAGTCGTAGCAATAGGTTAGCTGGCATTAAAGCTCAGGGATTTTCTGATGTTGAATGGACCTTTAAGTTGTTTGTTTGCGTGGAGTGCAGGTATGCCTGCAGTCTGGTGTACTACGGTCTGACTCTTGGGGCCAGTGAAACATCTGGGAACCGTTATGTTAACGTTGCCATGTATGGTCTGGTGGAGCTGCCTGCCTATCCACTGTGTATATACTTCATTAACAAACACTGGTAAGACCCACACATCGTTAGACAATACATTACAGGGCGAGACTATTGTATAGCTGATATAGACGAGTACCTCCTCAAACCTTATCAGCCAGATTTGTGCCGTCTTCTCAGGGCTGGCAGGAGGAAGAGCATGGCCAGCTTCTTATGCCTGGCTGGCTCTGCCTGTCTCTGTACAATATTAGTCCCTGAAAACACAGGTGAGTACCACATACTTACACACCAATAATGTTGTGGAGGGGAAGGGGGCGGGGCTAAGAGGCAGGAAAAAGTAAAACACAGCATTATTTTATCATCAATTTTGTTACAGGAACTCTAGTGAGCGTCACATCGTTGGCCCTGTTGGGAAAACTCATGGTCAGTGCAGCGTTCAACATCGCCTACGTCTACACGTCAGAGCTATATCCAACAGTCATCAGGTGACACAAACATTGATGCTACACTTTGAGAAACTCGGGATGAATTTTCAACGTCATCTTATCATATCTTTTTCTCTCTCGATTGAATTAAATGTGAATTGTATCTCTGTGTTTGCGGGAATGCCGGCCTGGGGGTTTGTTCAATGTCATGCAGAGTAGGAGGAATCCTCGCTCCCTTTGTTCCCTCTATGGTTTGTTTAGTAAATGTTTATGCAGATTCAGACCAAACTTTGTCAAACAGGTTACTAATACAATAATGATTGGCTGCTCTGTTCAGTTGGCCAGTTCAGGTTTGTTATTTGTTCACAGAAACATACACCATGAAGCAGGAGTAGACTAGCAGCTTCTGTGTCCTAATTTACAAATTTTCTCTAAGGAGTTTTTTTATCTTTATCTTTTGTAAAAACAGCTGTTATGCTGAACTATATATCTAAATTATAATTGTTTGAAGTGATGTTGACTGTGTATTTGCTTTTTAGCGTGCACTCCACACCTCCATGCCCTTCGTGGTCTTCTGTCTGAGTGGTCTGTCTGCAGGCTGCCTTGGCCTTCTGCTGCCGGAAACCCTTAATGGACCCACTGCAGAAACTCTGGAGGACCTGACCTCAACACGCAGCCGTGTGCTGGAGAGCAAGGTGCAGTTTGTAAATGACTTTCTCTCCTACACCACATAAACAACTGTGACTTGTCTTAGAAACATGAGAGCTTCTGGCAAACTGCTGCCTCATGTGGTCAGTTTATATATCTGAGTATTTTAAAAGCAAAATCATCAAATTTACAAAATTTTAACTTGATGATGGGGCATGTGGGAACATGACTTAATTTCTAAGGCTTTTGCATTAGGTACATACTACATTTACTAAGTAAACAAATGTGAATGTTTGTTCTGTTTCTGCATTTAATAATTTTCTTATATTTAAACTATCTCATTTGTGTCTCTGTAAACTCAGCCTCTTTTGTACCAGGACGACAAACAGATATCCAACTCCAAAGAATGAAACTAGTGGATCGTCCAAGCATTCAAGAATCATAAATCGTCCCAAAAGCATACAGAAAGGGGTCAAGGACACAGAGGACAGCCAGTCCTAAATGGGACATGCCTTACAAACTCTTAAAGAGACAACAGGAGGGAACAGAGACTTCTGTTAGCCACCAGATGGCGTTTTCATACATCGTACTGAAAGTGCTGGAAGAAGGGTCACTTTGTCAGTGCCCCTTTCAGCTGAGAAGACTTTTGAGACAAAAATATCAGGTCCATCATGTGCAGTCAATCACCAATCGCCAACATAAATGTAAAACCTCGAATGCCAATCACACGTTGTCCACACAGGCAGCTATATCTAAGACAGTAACCACTGTGTTACACACTGCCTGCATCAGAGGGCGCTAAAAGCGAAGTCAGCTCTACTAATGCATCTTTGCCACATGGTAACTACATCCTCTGAAAACAGCAGAGTTTTAAGACTGAACTTTTTGTCTGAGTCATGGAGAAATTGGACCAAAGCCTCAAACCTGCCAATCCAGAAGGACATTCCGGTCACTTGTTGACAACTTCCTGCCTCTTGTGCCTTCCCGACTCTGCCTCAAATCCACTTTGGCTGGAAAACATTGTTGTAAATCTTTGTATTTTAAACATGTATTTTTATTAATGCCATTAAACATATTGAGGAGAAAAGGGTGTGTCTGAGATGTATTTTGTCTTTTCTCTAGCTCACCATAATACAAATGGGCAAAAAATGAAGATAACATTTCCTTACATATGATTGTATTTTATATCATTAAAAAATTGCAATTTTTAGTTAATTAAAAATTAACTAAACAATCTATATAATCGCTGAAAAGGGGCAGAAATCTGCATGTTCAGAGATTATGTACAAGTGGAAGCAATCGGAGACTGTTCCACAGACTGTCCAGTAGATGTCAGTGTCAGTTGTTTAAGTGAGGTAATCGAAAGCCATAGGGGGAGGGAGTGACGTCATTGTTGGGGTATTTTCAAGATGGCGCTGGACTATGGTTGGAGTTTCGCCGCTGCTGCAGCTCAGCGCTGAGGCGGATTTACACCAGCGACTGTCCCGTGACGACGTACATTTGTTACACCGGGCGCAAGAAAACGTAACCGTTGTTTATCAATTGACCTGAGAATGGGCAGATTTGACCCGGGCAGCGTTAGGTAAGACGGGAAGCTAAAATGGTCGCAGCCCCTTCCTCCGAGAACAACAGAGCCCCGCGGAGCCACCACGGGCGCTCGGCTACAGCTGCGGCCGAGGCTTGGTGAGGACCTTAACGGTCATGGAGGAGCTGGTTACAGGTGCAGGAGGTGATGAAGGAGTTGGAGAAGTGATATTGGGAGAGACATCACCCTGCTCCCTGAAGGAGCTCAGCATTAGAGCCGGGATCAGCGGCGGTCAGGATGCCGGTGAGGGACACTTGTGGGTGAACGGTAACGGCAAGAAGATGATGCTGGAGGAGCAGAGTCAGCCCGGCCATCTTTGTTTATCTCTGCAGTAGGTTTTTATACTTTATTTCTTCGACTTGCCTGCTCTCTCCGTCACATACGTGTGTCCACTCATATTCTACCATCCCCTGTATTTCCGTTAAACACTTTCTCTTTAAAAATGACCGCGATAGATCCAGACTACAGGGCCAAAAGACACGATTTGCCAATATAATAAACTTAATAAGCAGTAGGAAGATTTTCCAGTGATTTTTTTTATGACTGTAGGAGAGCAATTTCGAGTATCCAGGGGATTTATGAGGAGCTTCAGGTTGATCTGTCCAATTTTCCACGCAATCCCTTGTTGTTGACTTTATATTGATCCAGTAAATCATTTGACTCTTTCAATAGCATCAAACAAGACTCATATTTCCCTTTGTGTTTACAGCTATACTGCATCGGTAGCAGTGGCATTAACAGAGAAAAATGCCATTCACATGAAGAGTATTTTGTTTTTCTATTTCTAACTCTGTGTAAATATGCAAAATGCATTGACCATGACCTGACAGAAGTGGGAGACATATTTGAATGGAGATTTCCATTATTTAAAGAAATGTCTAAAACAGTGTATCTAAATTAAACTTGTCTATTTTTCTGACAGGTGTATGATTCCTGAGGGGCTTGAAGACCACGTAGTCATGAATGGATTTTCTGAGTCTTTTTGCCTGGATGAGGAGGAGGAGGAGGAGGAACCAGGGATGGAGAGACAAGATCTCACAGGAACTACAGCAGCGTCCAGTACAACTGTGGTCCAGGATCTGAACTTGGTTGAAATCCAGGATGAGGCATTTGATGAAGTAAATCCAGGTGGAGATTGCATTGTCACCAGATCATCTTTGTCCCTGCCTCAGAAAAACTGCACTAGTGACATGGTGACGGGGGGGCTGTCAAATTTGACCCTCTCCAATGGGGTTCTGAACAGCACTGAGGATTTGACTTGTCTTAACACGTCAGCAGTATTTTCCAGCCCGGCGCTGCTGGGGCACAAACCTAGTCTGAACCACATAGAATGTTTTGATTTCAAAAAGGCCAATGGTGGTGTACACATCACGAGCACCAACCCACGGGCAACATGTGACTGTCCAGATTCAGACAATTCTTTCAGAGACAACACTAATATTCATGTAAATCTAGAGGCAGGACAAACAAATGGGAAGAGATCCGATGTTTCTATGGAGATCTGTCAGGATAACTCTCCCGTCAGTCCCCTCTTCCAGGACAACTCCCCCACTCCTGGATCAAGTGCCAAATGTTCTGCCCCCAACTTTTTATCCCCCACTGGCTTGAACTCTGACAGTCCCATCTCAGGGGCTGAGAGCGATGAGGAAGAGGAGGAGGAGCTCAGTGAGCTGAGCTTACCTGTCAGACCTCATAGTTTAAGGACTAACCCGGGTGTCCCGTTGTCCCTCAGTTGTGATGCCACTCCTCTGACCCCCGA